ATCAAGGCGTTGCAATGCGGCCTTGGCAAGGTTCCGGTCGAGGGTAGAGGCATCCAAGCGAAGTCCTCTCTTGTGAGCGGGTCAAGCTCCTCAAGTCTTGACCACGCCGTCGAGTCCTCGGAAATCAGTGGCGAACTGACCGGATCACTTGCCGACGATGTACAGGCTGCGCATACGCTAGCTAAGTGCACGTGGCTTGGCTGGTCTAATGGTGGTACCAGCTGGGCGGCATAATGCTCGTACGTGGCACGAGAATCAGCGACTAACGCATGCTCCCCGGTAGTGACATCGATTGCTAGCAAGGCAACCGGGTCCGGCGGAGTGAGGAGAGACGTCGCCCCTCTCCTTGTGTAACTCAGTTTCCCGAGTTTGCTGGACGGGGTGCGCGTGCCTTGCCCTTTTCGGGGCATTGTGCGGTCACATGAGTGACGCCGTTGCACCAGAGGCAGTATCCGTACTTTTGACGAAGGTCATAGACCTCCTTGGTGATCTTATATGCCGTCCATGGCTGCTGCCCAGCTCCCGTCGCTGCCGTCTCTTGTGTCGCCTTGTTCTTACGAACTCTCTTGGGACGCTTCGGCGGGAGCGCTGCGACAATTCCTCCATCACCCGAGGATGCTGCTGCAGCGTGGTGGTCGTCAGTTTCCTCAGAAATCACGGCATTGTTATGTGCCGGACGTTGATAGGTCTGCTTAGCCACATAATGCGGTTGGGATTGTCTCTCGTTAGCGGCCTTGTCGTCCGTTTGGATGACCAAGTTCGCTCGATCCAGAATGGCCTGGAATGTGGTATAGTCGTACTCATAATCGAGTGCCGACCGCAATCCCGCGCATGATCGCGAGAAAAACTCGGATCGTTGATTTGGAAACGTCAAGTCGAAGCCTGGTGTGGTCACTATCTTTTGCCACTTCGTTGTCCAGTCTCGAGTTGGCATGTTMCCCTGAGAGCATGTGTACACCTCATTCATGGCCGCCTTCACGACGTTGCGGACCATGAACCGGGTGAACCATAGCTGCTCGAACTCCTTCCACGTGATGTGCGTGTGGAGTTCGGCGATGGTGCACTTGTGGGTGGCCGCCAGGTGGTTCATCCATGCCTGCGCTACTCCAATCAGTTGCAAATAGAGTGCCTTCAACATGTCGTTCGCCGGGACAGTGCGGCATGACGCTTCCGTGAGGAAACGTTGCCACCATGTCAAAGCGTCCGGCTTGTTGTAGTCGTCGAACTTGCAGATGTCGAAGTGCGGCATCTTGAACGTCTTTGTAGCGGCGTCCGGTCTCGTCTGTAGCTTGGTGATGACTGTCTTGATGGCGGCCACCGTGCTGCTGATCGTGTCCGGTTCGTTGAAAACACCTATGTCGCCGATGATGGTGACGACGTGATCGATGCGTTCGTTGATTTGCTTCGTCGCGTCCGTCGTGCAGCCTGGCGCTGCTGAGGCCTTGGCCTCAATGTTGTTGATGCGTGCGATGGTAGAGTTCATCAGCTGTTGCTGTTGCTGCTGCTGCATTGCTGCGTCGCGGACGCCGGCCGTTAYAGCGGCCAGGTCTTGCTGGTACTGCTGTCTTTGCTGTCGTTCCGCGTGCAGRTGTGCCTGCAGTAGTTTGTTGTTCCACATTACTCCCCTCATTACGTTCAACATCACGGTAGCCAGGTTACTTCTCTCTGCCTCCGCCTGTGTCGGCTCCGCCTGCGTTTCCGTAGGCACAAAGATCATGCCTTGGAGTATTGTTGTCCACTGATGCTCACTAGCAAWCAGGGACTCCGTGCTGGCGGCATTCCGTCTGTTTCGTGCCGCTTCGTCAGTCTCAGCTGTCCGCTGAGCTTCGGCTGCCGCCTCATTGGCCAGCCGCTGACGTTCTGCCTCTGCCGCAGCCTGCTGAGCCTCGGCGGCGGCTACGGCATCTGTAAATGCCTGTAGCCGCCCACGATAGTCAGCCAAAGGCTCGCTGTCCTCTCGGACCGGGCATGCGGGAAGATCTCCGGTGGTGTCTTGTACTGTCAATGTCGTACTTGATGCCACTGGAGTCGTCCGTCTACTGAATCTCTTGGGTCTTGGAGGTACCGCAGGGCGGGCACGAACTGCGATCCTGGCACTGCGCCGTGGCAGTGCCCCGGTGTCCTGTTCCATCGACATCAGTCTGAACTGATGCGGTACTTGAGAGGTGCCGGTGTTCACAGATTACAGGGGTGTAGGGAGAGTGGGAACAGGGGTAGAACAATCAAGCAATATACATACAATCCCCTGTCCCACTGATGGACTGTAGACACCTAATCAAACAGAAAAATAAATTTCCCGTAAATCACTCCAAAATTCGTAATAAGAATTTAATAACGATTTAATCAATAAAATTAATTAATGATAAATGACGAAATAATAATTCTTAATGATAATCCAAAAGATAACCAATAATCAATATTTGCAAAAAGATAAATCAATAACCCATCATTGCAATCATGATAATAACGAATTTGAATGGTGTTAGGATTAGGTCTCTTTGAGATCACTTGAGTCCGGGAGTTCATCATTAATGAGTGAACTACCCGGAAGTTGCAGTTTAAGGGTCAAATACGGATTAGTGTGCTTGAAAAAATTTCGGGAAATTTTAGAAGAAAAACGCTCGAATTTTCAAAAACGTGAATTTTCGGGAATTTCCACCGTCAAAATCCGTTTTTTAAAGGTCTAACCCTATTTTCGGAATTTCTCCAACAAGGGGAACGAAAAGAAATTTCGCAAAAATTTTGGTCCCAACCCTAATTTTCCGCGTTTCCGCGAAATTTCCGGATTTACAGTCCCAAAACGTTCGAATTTCCCAAGTTGATAAAAAAAAACAAAGATTTCGTAACCCTGATTTCCAATACTGAAAGACAACGGAAATCCCAAAAGAAAAACGAAATATAGGATTTACAACGGAATGTCAAAAACGGAATGTTGAATGGAAATCAGAAAAGCCGAATTTCAACCATGATGCTGATTCAACCCTAATTACGAATTACTTAACCAGAAATCCGAATCAAACAGAATGTTGGATTAGTATCAATTTCTCGGATCTAATTAAACAGCATACTGGCATAAAACAGAAATCCGAATAATAAGTCCGAATACTGAATTGAAACGGAATGCCAAAATAACCAGAAGACCGAAAAAAAAGAAATTTTGCAACTTTAATCTCGATAATAATCCAGCGCCGATTTAGAAGATCAAACAAAATAATCTAATTCTAAACGGACTTCCCTGGTGAGCAGATCCGTTATTGGTCTGCTCCGATACCAAAATTGTTGCATACTTCGATGAGTATGGGCAGAACCAAAGATCAACCAATATAGGATGAGCATGTATGCAGCGGAAGTCTGATAAACGGACTGACTCACATAGACTGACTCACATAGACTGACTCACATAGCATCACTCCACACACATACAATCGTGAGATGGTGGGGTCTGAGCCATACAGAGAAGATCCTCAGCCCCGTACACAACATACACAGGTGAATTGGGGAGGAGAGACGAAGGAGGTGGGGCAGGTAGACAGCACTGAAAGTCACCGAGATAGAATCTGATAGGTCACCGATATGGTAGTCCAAAATGTCATCCAACAAGATCAAAATGTCGAGGACCATAGGTCACCAATGTCGGAGATACAGAGTCCAAATGTAACCGGTGTCCGAACTGTGATGTCGCCAAGTATCAACCCCAACGATCTCCAAGTCTYCAATCCRGTAAGTACCACAGTCTCCTATCACCGAAGTCCAACTATGATCTCTATCCAACTAGTATAGTCTCCAATCTGAAGAAGAAGAAGAAGAAGAAAAAGAAGAAGAAGAAGAAGATGATGAAGAAGATGAGGAAGGAGGAGGAGGAGGAGAGAGAGAGAAAGAGAGGACTGACGAGGGAGGGAGGAGAGGTCCTCCGGCTCCCAGGTACCTCAGGCGGCAATGGTTGCCGTACTGGTTCAGTCGCCCTGCTGCTGCTCCGCTTGCTGCTGCGCTGCCGCTGCTGCTCCTCGCTCGCTCTTGCGCTATATTAGCGCATCAAACAGCGCTCTGGCGCTGACCATACCGTACCGGTATAGTGTCGGTAGGTCAATGCCTCCAAGTGAGGCTGTACCGGTACTTTATACCGGTGGGGCAGAGGCCGGCCTCAATGCTGCGAGGCCTGGCCATGCCCTGAACCGTCCAGATGGACGGTTCAGCCCCAACCGGCAGGCGGCAGCCTCAAGAGCGCCATACCGGTGGGGCAGAGGCCGGCCTCAATGCTGCGAGGCCTGGCCATGCCCTGAACCGTCCAGATGGACGGTTCAGCCCCAACCGGCGGGCGGCAGCCTCAAGAGCGCCGCCAGGCCCAAACGATAATGCCGTTTGGGCCTGCCCGTCGGGTACTGGTCCAAGATCAGGCCCTGAGGGCCTGTAATACCCCAAGGTCGGGCCTTTAGGCCCTGATGTGTCCCTCCGGCCCTAAGTCGGGTCTGGTAGGACCCGTGTGCGTCGAAGATGTAACAGCATTTGACCCTGAGATCCGAATTTGGGGTCTGAATCGTGGAAGGCCATTCACTCTCGCCGGCCTAAATTCGAGGTCCTCCGAGAAAATTATCAATTTTATCTATCCCCTATGTTAAGTCCTCTCTTAGCTCTTTCATAAAAGGACACAATATGTGTTGCCGTTTCTATGAATTCATCTCTTGTAAACCAGCGATCTTCTTCGGGTTCCTGATAGGCAAATCTAACCTTCTACTGTGCCTGTGGTCTACCCCTGCGTCCAGATCTGTAAACATCTTCCCCAACAATCCTGTCCGCATCATATTTGCCATCCATATCAGGGGCAATCATAGATCTGCGTGATGGAAACATATCATTACTAATGCAAGGCAATAACTTTGAAGCGTGGAACACCGGATATGTGTGCAAATGTGGAGGAATCTCAACAACATAAGAAGGATCATCTACATCACTAATCACATCAGGAATCTGCCAGGGTCCTCGATATGCAGGCAACAACTTTTGAAAAATGTTTTCCTCAGGAATAAACTCTTTTGACTTCACCCAGACTAGATCGCCTGCAACAAATTGTGAGGGTCTGCGGTGCTTGTTAGCCTGTTTTATCATCTGATGTTATGCCTTACTAATGTTTTCTTCAACCTTCTCCATGTCTTTCTGATATTGAACAACAAATTCTCTGGCTCCTGGCGGAAGTCTTTGTACTTGATCAGGGTTTAGACAGTCCATGGATCTACGTGGGCACCATCCGAGATGTAGTCAGCCGGTGTTCTAGATGTAGCTAGATGCACGAAGTTATTAGAGGCACTTGCAACCTTCGGCAGATGTCCATCCCAGTCAATCTGATATGGTTGGATGTACATGCGCAGCACTTGCTGCAGCAGCTTGTTCATCTGCTCAATTTGTCCATTCGTCTCAGGGTGTCTACCTGAAGACGTAGTCAGTTTGGACCCGTATACCTTCATTAGTTGCTGCCACTGCTCACCTGTGAACTGCGAATCCCTATCACTTATAATAGTCAAGGGATGCCCAAAATTTTTCACCCAATGGTTAAAGAATTCCCTAATCACCGATTCAGTTTTTGCTTCTCCAGGGAGTGGAACAAACACAACAAACTTGCTAAACCGGTCTACTATAACCATAACCTGACTTTTTCCGTTTTTGCTCTTTATCTTAGTATCCATAAAGTCTATAGACACAGAGTCCCCGGGTCCCGACGGAATAGGTAGCGGTCGGAGTAATCCAAGGGGAGGTTATGTGAAACTTTTATTCCTTTGGCAAAGCCTTGCACATAGGAGATGGAATCATGCTTCATTCCTGGCCACGTGTAGGAGCGTAGGAGGTTAGCATAAGTCTTCCTCCATCCGAAGCACCCCTCAGTATCGTGGTTTTCCCCAAGTATTATGCTACAAATTTCCTCGCTGTTCGGAACACATAGTCGGTCATGGACATCTGTCTTTTCATACAGCAGTCCTTGTGGTACTCTATAGTCCGGACATCTGTTTTTCCAAACAGCAGTCCCTGTGTTACTCTATAGTCCGGGACTTTGTGAGGTGTCGTCTGCACCTTACAAATCAACTGGCTATAGGCTGGATCCCTTATGTAGGCAAACTTATTTTTTTCCTGTAGTTCGGTGCTTGCATTTAGGTATGTGACAATGGCACTGAAAAAGTCAGCCCTTCGACTCAATGCGTCAGCGACAATACTGTACTTACCTTTTACTGACTTCAATTCAAAATCAAACCGATCAATCTCCCCAGACCACTTGGTCAGTTTAGGTGTCATCCGGGCCTGGGTTTTTAGCCAGCGAAGTGTCTCATGATTTGAGTAAACTTTAAAGTGGTGTCCTAGCAGATAATACCGCCAATGATTCAATGCTTCTCTTAGAGCAAACAACTCCCTATCATAGGTAGAAGCCAAGACCTTTTCGCTGGGCAGTCTATACAGGACATGAATTTCACAGGTTTGTACCCATTCCCATCATCTTGCTGGAGTACAACACCAATCCCGTATTGACTGACATCAGTAGTTACGATAAAGGGTAGAGATGGATCCGCAACTTTCAATACCGGGTAGTTAATCAAACACTTCTTTAAACGTTTGAAGGATGCAATACAATCCTGATCCCATTTCCAGATAGTTTCCTTCATTAACAATCTGCGCAATGGGGCAGCGATTACCGTAATGCAATCAGACTTGCTTTCATTCACACTTTACATGTACGCAAACAGGCGCACAGCAAACTGGCGACAAGCACCCACACAGAACTCAGAGATATGGTCGCCGAAAACAAAGTCCAGATACAAGTTCACTTTCGATGGCTATGGCGACTCAGCGCCCAAACAACTCTCTGTTCGCATACCCCAGATCACCCTGGATATCCCACACGCGTCTCTCTAAACACTCACACACACACACACTGAACACTCACCACAGCTATGGCGGCTATGGCCGCAACTACCCTATCGCTATGCTACGCTCCTTCTCTCTCGCCCACTTCGGCTTCGGGCTCACTGCAGACCTCCTTGCACAAGTCGATGTGGCAGCGCTTCCGCATGGCTCACGCAGGAATGAATGAATGGCTGGGCACTGCCTCTTGATTTATACTTTTGAAGCTCGTTGGTCTGCCATTTTCCATCGGCCCATGGTGCTCACAATCCCTCATGGTACTTGCTGGACCGGACTGGGACTGACTGGACCTTACCGCTGACTGAATGGGGACTCACTGCTATCCTACCGCTATCGTATTGCGAACGTAATGCAGTTAGTCCACCACTTGCCCACTTGCCCACTTGCTCGACC